TCGTGTCGTTTGTCACAGTGAGATCCTATTGACACACACAAGTTACTAATCCAACGTCCTCGCTCCACACACAACTACTTTGTAATCTCCTATACTATAATGTTCGCACAAAAGCAAATGTTATTCGCTTGCATATTTGCAATTCTAAACATTCTAAAAATACCTCTGCCGTGCTTGCAATGCCAAATGGGACCTGTATGTCGCATTTGAGACGGTTATAGAGCGCAATAATCCTTACAGTATACAATAAATGTTCTGGAAATGATCAGAGCTTGTCACAAGGAGCTGTCCGGGGAAACCCAGAGAGAACAGATACGCCAAGGGTCACAAAAGGTCAAAAAGACATAGCGAAGTTCATTATCCCTTGCCGCATATAAGCCAAGTCTGGTTAACACAGACACAATCCACACAGGGTGAACAAGTACATATGTAATCTGATAACACATCGGACATGTGGCGCCATCTACATGTGAGCTAACGTGACCAACAGCATACTAGCAGCTTAATACGGTAATGCATCGCAGGACCCGGCCGATGCTCCTGGCATACATACTCTTCCCACGCTAATCCAGCGGCGGGGTTTTCCATACTTCGTCTACTTTAATGGGAAGTTAGAGAGATTGCGTCATGCATACCGAGATTGTATTCATTGCATTGTGTGAGAGTATTGTCAGGTAATTTGGTTTGGTGTTGGACTTCAGGGCCCATTAATTTCCGGAGGGTTATATGCGTAATAATGTCATTATTCTTTATATACAATTACCATGGTATGACTACACGATTATCCATATTTTATTATTACTATTAAAGTATTAATAGTAATTGTATTATTATAATCAATAACGCTATGATTTAGCATAGCGTTATTGACACTAGGCTGCAAGGCTAACTGGGGCTAACTGCAAGGCTAACTGGGGCTAACTGCAAGGCTAACTGGGGCTAACTGCAAGGCTAACTAATTCCCATAGCACGCCGCTGGGGGCGGCGTGCTATGGGAATTTCCACAAGGATCTGCGTCATGGGACAAGAACATCACACTATCATGCTGATCAGAGTGTGCTAGTGTGCCATACTGACCCGAAGCCTCAAGCACTAGCGGATAAATTACACCCAATCAAGATAATAATAAATAGTAATTATGAATCAGTGTCACTTGCTTTAAAGCTGCCGAATTTTAGTAGTTGATTAGTGGAATTTGCATCTGTGTTGGTTATACTTATTGAATGGCCCTAATCTGTGATTATCATAGCCATGTGAGGTGACCTGACAGCCTAGTCTGAGAGTGTGAAAGCTATATAATTAAGTGCCCCGGTGTTGGATGGTAACCCTGCTCATATATACTGTAACAATAATATATAAAATCTCAAACGTACTTCAGGTCGACCCCATTCACACTGGTGATGAATGTCGTGTGAACAACAAGTCTCTACATGGGCTCTTATAAGGTTACAGGCAATTTCATTTCACAATTATATAAAATCAACAGAGAGAACCACGAATCCGCTTGTGGGTAGAATTAAATTTCCACGCACTCCACCCCTACGTGGTTTTTCATACATTCCATTACCTTCTGTACACGGTTATTAATACACCCACGTATAATACATCCCCCCCTCCCCCTCCCGTATATTCAGGTAATACCCAACCACTTATACAGGTATGTTAACCTACATATATAAACTCCATTGTAACAGGTGTTGCAATGAACGGAGCAGAGGTAAAGTATTCCACTCCCATCCACCTGTGGTCCATTTCCTGTCTACTTGAGAGTACCAGAACGAGGGGACGCATGGGAGGGTACCAGGATGATGGGACGTATGAGAGAGACCAGGACGAGGGAATGCATGGGAGGGTACCAGGATGAAGGGACGCATGGGAGGGTACCAGGATGAAGGGCCGCATGGGAGGGTACCAGGATGATGGGACGCATGGGAGGGTACCAGGATGATGGGACGCATGGGAGGGTACCAGGATGAAGGGACGCATGGGAGGGTACCAGGATGAAGGGACGCATGGGAGGGTACCAGGATGAAGGGACGCATGGGAGGGTACCAGGATGTTGGGACGCCTGGGCGGGTACCAGGATGAAGGGACGCTAGGGCGGGTACCAGGTTGCAGGGACGCATGGGAGGGTACCAGGATGAAGGGACGCATGGGAGGGTACCAGGATGAAGGGCCGCATGGGAGGGTACCAGGATGAAGGGACGCATGGGAGGGTACCAGGATGAAGGGACGCATGGGAGGGTACCAGGATGAAGGGCCGCATGGAAAGGACCAGAACGAGGATACCCAGGAGAAAAACTAGCTCGAGGGATCAGATGGAACACAAACGAGTGAAGAATCGGGACGAACTAAATAAATAACACTCACAAAGAGTCCCAGAAATTGAAAACACACACACATACACACGTTGGAGGATTCTTTCCTTATTCGTTACGACTGCTGACGGAGCAGAAGGAATGATGATATAAGGGCGTGGGGGGGGGGTGAAGGAAGATATGTACATGGACACAGCATCTCCACCACTGGTACCACCACTGGTCCACCACTGGTACCACCACTGGTCCACCACCACTGGTACCACCACTGGTACCACCACTGGTCCACCACTGGTACCACCACTGGTCCACCACTGGTACCACCACTGGTCCACCACTGGTACCACCACTGGTCCACCACTGGTACCACCACTGGTCCACCACTGGTACCCACACACGCGTCAAAACAAATAATATATCATATAGTTAAACTAATCATTATGATAATGGAAATGAGAATCATCATCACAATATTAATAATATTGAACTATACAGATATATAGTAATAAAATATGATTTGAAAAACGAGTATTAAAGTAAGAAAAACATTGCAATCACATAGTTATATTACACGAACAAATTCAAAACCACATTAAACATCCAACCCATAAATCCGAAAATGAAGAACTTGACTTGATAACGGTCTGGGACGAACCGCAACGTCCTCAATTCTAATGAACGTCTCTAATGTTCAGCCACGTTATTGTGACTCACTATCTGCAAAAAAAAAACACATTAACAAACAAACAGCGTCACGTGGAACAAACTTGCAAACGAAACCACATGAATAAACCGACAAATAAGCAACATTACTAAATGTTTCAATTGAATAGCCTAGGACACGGGCCACCGACACCTTCCTTTCTGAGAACCTCACATTACTACCTTACTCACCAGCCTCAGAGCTCGCTCATGAACCCCTCGCTGCGTTACGCCCATGTTACTCCAACTCGAGATATCCCAACATCTCAAATTCCAACTCCAAGAGGATATCCGGATACCAGGCCAGTAGGAATGTCATTATTCAACTCTATGCGCTTACTTAACGTTGACTATCGATTATACGAATGTATTTATAATGAATAGTCGCTAAATATTCATATTTACAACAAACTGTAAACTCACGTTTCGATACATTTATATTAAGTACCACGTGTCCGAAGTGGGTTACACCTCAGTTTTACGTAATTTGGAAGAAAAAAAGCGTCAGTGTTTTACAGAATTCCTAAATCGTTTACTGCTGCTGACTCACAAGTACTGACGTGACCAGTACGTTACACCGCGTCCTGTTGCTCTCAGCCCTCTAGGATATGTGTATGTATATTATAATTATTATATATATACCTCCTGGTTACTCATGGACCCCTTTCCTCGCAGTCCTATGCCACCAGCGCCAATGGTCATTTCCTGTTGGTCATGTTGGAGGGTTATCCGTCATTTTCTATTGGTCATATTGGAGGGAAGGTCGTCTTCGTCCTGGAGGCGATTGGGGGCGCGTGACCACAATTACTAGTTTGAATATTTTATTTCGATTGAGCAAAGGGCAACGGACGGATAGACGAACGAGCGGATATGGGCCCCATACAGATGGAAGGATAGTTCACATTTATAGACAAACGAACTGGCTCCCGTACGGATAGACGAAAACTCGCTCGTATGGATAGAAGAACGAAAGGAGACTCGTGTCGATAGGACTGACTGTAGGTCGCTCGTACTGGTGGGCAGACAGAATTATCCACCTTCAGAAGTGGGCTTTTCCTGGTTTCTCTACAACGTTTACATTCCCAACCCTCCCCCCCCCCCCTCTATCCTCCCTCCCTCAGGGGACGCCATAATAGGCAGGTGGTGTGAATATTTCTCCGATGTGGCTTTTCCTGAAGGGGTCTTTCTTCACCCCCTTCCCCTCGTCTCCCTCACCCCGTCTTTACCACAGCAAACTGAATCAACATACTTATTTACACAGGTTTGTCAGACTCTTACCTTGACTTAAAAAGGACTTCAAAAGCATCAGTTTAGAAACACTGGACATAAAACGTAACATAAAACATGAAACACTGCAGGAAAAATGCATCCAGAGCCACAAAATTTCCTTGTAATGGATAGCCTCAACAGGTAGCGGTTTCAAGTTTTCAGTTCCTTGATTTTCCCAATTTTTCCTATCTTGTAATCGAAGGGATTTACACACCGATTCTTGATTCACAGTTCCAAGTTATTAGTATTGTCATTATTCATATTATTGCCATGGTATACCTCATCACCATTTATCATCATTATCATCTTCACCACACTACAGGCATCTTCCTTATCGTCAGAGTTGTTATTGTTATCAGGGCAGCCATCAGGAGGTTGAAGATTTTCCCGGGCAAGGTTGCCTGGTCGTGGCTGGAGGCGTGTTATCAGTAGTAAAGGCGCCGGAACGGTGGCTGTGACGAGCAGTAGTTTAGCATTACCGCATTACAAGACGTTCTCTACTGACAGGGAGCGAGGCTGGGCAGGAGGAAAGACGAGAGAGGAAAACCTGGTTATACAATAGACAACTAAAGATACGGGGAAGTACAGAGGGATGTTTGGTGCGGAGAAAGAAAGGCGGACAAATAATATGCCTTGGGAAAAGCACAAGGCCACGTGGTGCGCATGTTAGGGAAGTACCTCTCTCACAATAAACTAATCTGTCTGTTGCAGGTGTGGCGGTGATAATGTTGGTATTGATTCAGCTGCTGGTGATACTGGTGGTGATAGTATAGAGTTGCTTCTCCCCTGGTAATCTCTGCTTGCCCGCACCTAGCACTCTTGCACCAACACACGCCGAGCACCGTCCTTTGCGCCATCTAGTGGGCGGGGTCTCCATCAGCCGTCGGGTGGACCAGAGTGCGAAGAAGCAAGCAAGTACTCGACCCAGACGGGCGAGCGTCGCTGGTTGTAGTGTTGTGTTCAGCGGTGTCTCGCTGGAGTCAGGTGCTGGGAGAGCTTATGGCAAGTTGTGGGGCGAGTGTTGGGATGAATGACTTACTCAGAGTGAGAACTAAAAGCAGCTGCACCGTGTCTAGACTGGCTACAAGTGAACACCCGGGCGAGTGAGCGCTTATTGCCTGTAAAGCAAAGGACATGTAGTAGTCTAGTCCGTGATGTTGGATTAATCAAGCAATCCAAAACAGCACGTTACTTACCTGCTGCTGCTGCTGCCTCTGAAAAATAGAAGCTTTCGGTAAATCCTCTTAAGAGCCTTCGCTAGTTCTTCCCACCATAAATTCTACGTTCGACTCTGTGCACCAGGGAACACAAGAGTTGGGAGGTGGTGTCCAGCGGACGCTGGCAAGGGAGAGAGAGAGGATGTTGGACCTGCAGAGTCTCCTAACAGAGCAGTTGGCGACGCACACCAATAGGATGGAGTTCATCAAGGCGTGTGATGACCCCTCAATCACCCCATCTTCAAGTCAGACCAAAGGCGAAAATAACACCATCATAAGGTTAGTGTCCGCTTTATAATTTGCTGCAGTTAAATTATATTGTGTTGATCTCGAATTTGATCTTAATAAATCAGTACATGATCTGAGCTATGGACGGAAAGTCACGCATTTTGCTTGTGAGAGTGACATTTAAGTAGTTAATTAATACATGTTCATATATGCAAATTTATTGCTAGGCTGTGCGGTTTCCAGGCGTGTGATCTAATGTATTTTGTTGATACATCTGCATGTATCAACATCCAACAGCTGTATAATCCTGGGATCTTATTGTATACCGTGTATTTGGATAATAATATAGGTCTTAGTACAATTGTTGGTATTAATATTTGGTGAAGCCTAATGATAACCTATTGGTAACGCATCACCAAGTGTTGGTAACAGTTTTCTAGAGTGTTACCTCGCTGGGTTTTTGTTATCCACTCCAACCCCTCTATATGTAGAGCCCTCTAGGGTATAGTAGCACAGTGGTCTATGTCCTAGGCTCGCAACCCATGGACTCGGACTCAATCTCTAGGTAGGACAGAAACGGTTTGGGACGTTTCCACCCATGAAGATCACGTGGGACTACATGAGTGGCTGTACCGGGCACCATTACTCGGTACAGCACCCATGTAGACCCACGTGATCTGGTACCCGGTACAGCACCCATGTAGACCCACGTGATCTGGTACCCGGTACAGCACCCATGTAGACCCACGTGATCTGGTACCCGGTACAGCACCCATGTAGACCCACGTGATCTGGTACCCGGTACAGCACCCATGTAGACCCACGTGATCTGGTACCCGGTACAGCACCCATGTAGACCCACGTGGTCTGGTACCCGGTACAGCACCCATGTAGACCCACGTGGTCTGGTACCCGGTACAGCTACCCATGTAGACCCACGTGGTCTGGTACCCGGTACAGCTACCCATGTAGACCCACGTGATTTGGTACCCGGTACAGCACCCATGTAGACCCACGTGATCTGGTACCCGGTACAGCACCCATGTAGACCCACGTGATCTGGTACCCGGTACAGCACCCATGTAGACCCACGTGGTCTGGTACCCGGTACAGCACCCATGTAGTCACACATTGTTTACATCTACAAGTCGATCAAAGAGCAAAGGTGCACAAAATCTTACAACTCGTTTTGACCGACTAATCACTAAAGCATCATGCAATCGCAGCTGGGAGGAAACCCCCACGGAAAGCAACAATACACCATTGAACAATGCCATTTACACTGGAAAAGTCCACCCGGAGAAGAAGGTATTGTCCTGTGACACTCCCTAGTGTAAATATTTAGTTAATCGACGGACAAGGAAAACTCAATACTGGGTTACCTTGTGATAAGCGAGGGAAGCCGAAGTTGCAACCGCTTCTCGGTACAGCTTAAGCCTGAGAGAGAAAAGAAAAACCAGTATTACGAAAATAACACTTTAATATTATTTAGTTTGAATAGCAGTTTTGCTGTGGGTGAAATTAGACAACTGACATCTATTCAGGCTAAGGTTCACATCGAGATTCTTAAAAATGTTTAAATAAATGAGAGTAAGTGCTTTGCAAACATCATTGGTCTTTATAAATTACAGTCCACATACACATTACAGTTGTTTGATGCGTTGTTCCTTATCGCTGAATTCAAAGAAACGTTGAAGAGGCTAGACAAGAGTTCACAATGGCTGCCTTGTGGAGGCATTTCCCGCCCTTTCAGGTGCTAGGCTACA